GCCAAAGCTCAGATCTGCTGCCAGTCGAGATGCCGGTAGGAAGGACCTTGCGGGTTTAGTGCAAAGAAGTAGATGACAGATTACTTTAAACCTTCATATAGCACCAGTAAATTACCTGTTTGCATTAAGAATGTCTCCAAGTGCCTTTAAACAGCACAATGAACTGCTTCCTATTTAAAAATAATGTTATGTTTAGCACCACTTCTGTGTTTGAGCCTACAGTCAAGGTCTTCCTCAGGTGCTCAGACACAAGGAGGGCTCTTAGGAAATGCAAATTTGATCTTAAATCTTGTTTGTTTTCCCTAATGCTTGGTTTTATAAAGAGGTGAGTCTCCTCTTTCTATCCATCCTCCTTATTATTATTGAAAATTAAGATCTCAGCAGTGCTGAATTGGCACCTATAAAGGTCCCATCTTTGCTGTGGATGGACCAAAGGGGAGCCATAAGAGGATTCCCGATTCAGTCTGCCTTGTGCACTAGGAAAAAGGATCTGCTTTCCAAATGGGAAGAACGCCTGTGTCAGCACCAAGGTAGCATCATTTACCATCTAGGCGTGAGGCATTCCAGTTCATGGGTCTGCATGCTGCAGCCAGGGGCATACGCTGTATTCCTCCAACTTTCAAACAGCTGCCCAAAGTTTTGTGCCCCTTGAAACAAGGGAGATGCTGGGACCAGCAACCTGAAGACTCAGGGTGCATCATTTCACACTTGCTGAAGAAGGACCAGGTAATGGGTGTAGAGAGGGTTATGAATCCCATGTGTTTTATAGACTAACAAATTTTTCATCACATGTGGACAAAACAGTCCCTCAGAGTTGGTATTTTCTACTGTGTCACCGTCTATTTTGGGAACTGGTATTAATACTGAAGTCCCTGATGTAACCGAGGAATGGTGCTTCAGCGGCAAGGCTGGCTTCTTCCAGGCATGCACGAGTGTGTCCTCGAACAGCAGAGACTGCAAAGGATGGAAAAGGGCCTTTTGCTGAGCTGTAGTGGTTAAATATCACTTGAGAGATAAGAGTAATTTTGTCATTGTTCACCAGCACACATCAAAATTGCTTTTTTTTTTTTTAAAAAAAAGAAAGCTTTTAGGTGACAAACCACGAACCACTGAGGGTCTCATGCAAAGACAGATCCTGTGGGGTCTTCATATTATCTTGCGTTTTGGCCCTTTAGAGCAGGGTTGGGTGAAGTCCTGTTTGGTTTCCCTGCCCTGTGAATGCTGATGTCTGTCTCCTCTCATAGACGCCGGGGCGAGCAGGCCGCCCGTGCTGCCGCCTGGAGGCAGGTCAGCAGCCGCCAAGCCCTTCTGCCCTCCGAGTGGGCCGCCGCGCTTCTCGGGACCGCCTTCCAGCCAGAGGAGCACCGCTCCGGAGC